TTCAGTGTTGGGTACATAATATGCATTCAATGTCTATTAACTAGTGAAGGAACAACCACCATTTTGTCAGACAAGATATTTAGGAAATAAAAGCATAATGCTACTTTCCAGAACTAGAAAACCCACACATTCGCAATCTCATAAAGAAGAGGATTTCAGCCTATTTGGTTCCCTGATGTTTCCAATACCCTAGAACAGTGTTTGACACATAGTACGCCCATACCAAATATGTTATGAATAAAACAATTTATTCTGTACTTCAAGGCAGCAGATGAGTGAGTGGAAGTCACACTGACCTCTTCCCAGGACAATCTGAAATTACAAATAAATTGTGAAGAAATCACCTGGAAAACAACAGAACAATAGCAAGACAGGAGCCTTAAATCCTTGGTCAGACGGAGGAACTGGCTTTGGCACAACCTAACTGGTAAAGAGTGCAGTAGAGGCTGAAGAAGGTGGACAAGGCATCCGTAGGCAACAGCACCAGAGGGATACTGAAACAGCCAGTTGGATCCCCTTGAGAAGAGCAGGATCTAAACCATAAGCAGGATCTCCAGCCTACAGCATTAGACCCTGAAAAGCACACAGACAGCAGCCAGCTGTGAAAAGTGGGGGTGTATTCTCTGCCAGGTGGCAAGAGATGAAAAGAGCCACTTAAAAGGCCAATGCAAAAATTTGTACTGGCAATCACTTACCCTGGGCTCCAGCAGAGAAAGAGGCAGAGTAGGCTCGAGCAACATGAGGAGAGATTGAAGAGGGAAAAGAACTGAGGAAGTAGATGGCAGGGTCCCAGTGCTGACTCACCCACCATTCTACAGCTGCCATCTTGCTCAGGCAGACCAGTCTCCTGTAAAGCAGCAGCGTGAAAGGACCCAATAACCATGCTCACAGTAGGCTCGGCCATGTCCCAGTGTTGTGTAGGCCTGTGTGAAGAGTACAGAGCAGCAGTCACAGATAGTAGATCTTGGATACAAAGGATATGGAATGGTCTAGAGACACTTAAGGAAAGTCTGGTGACTGAGGCTTTGGGAAGAGAACTAAGGGAGTAGCTGAGGGTATGCAGGTGCTGACTCCTCCCCCCATATGGCAGTAGCCATCTTGCTCAAGTAGACCACTCCTTTGAGTAGCAGCAGCATGAAAGGACACAATAACCCCACCCAAAGGAGGAACTCTGCCCACCCTGACTGCTGAAGGCAGTGTGACTAGATTCACAAATGGAGGAGACAGAAAAAGACAATAGATTGCTGGAAGTCTGTTAAAGACTGCCTAAGGTCAGACAAGGTCAACAGCTGACATCATCAGAGGCAGATATAGAAAAAAAAGAAAAAAAAATTGGTCTCCTACCATAGAAGTTTACATCACAAAGTAAGGATAAAGACAGATAAGTTAAGAAGCACAAGCAAAAACAGAAGAGTATAATAAACAATGGAAAGAAAAACAAGTACTCCCCCAATGGAAGAGAAAGGAGGAATGCCTAAAAAGAGAACTAAATGAAATAGAGGCAAGGAAATTATCAAACATAGAATTCAAAACAACAGTTCTAAGGAAGCTCAATGAGCTCAGTAAGTTTACAGAGAATGACCAAAAACTACAGGGAAACTATGAAAAACTTGTTGCAAACCATATCACCATGAAAAAAGACATAGAAACTATAAATAAGACGCAAAAAAGGAAATGAAGAATATAATTTCTGAATTGAATAAAATAGTAGAGGAATCAAATACAGGCTTGATGAAACAGAGGATCAACAAGTGAGCTGGAGAACAAGGCAGAAAAAGCTCCCAGAAAGAGCAAGAAATGGAAAAAAAAATCAAAAAAGCAAGAAGAGGCGATGAGGGAAATGCGGGACAACCTGAAACATAATAATATCCATATAATAGGGATACGAGAAGGAGAACAGGAACAAGGGATAGAGAACCTGTTTAAAAAAGTAATGATGGAAAACTTCCCTAATTGGAGAGGAGAAAAAGTCATGCAAGTCCAGAAAGCACAAAGGGTCCAATCAAGAGGAATCCAGTGAGGCCCACTCCAAGACACATCATCATTAAAATGACAAATATCAAAGACAAAGAGAGAATCCTAAATGCAACAAGGGAGAAACAGGTAGTAACATAGAAGGGAGACCTGATATGGCTGGCAGCTGACTTCTCAACAGAAACACTACAAGCCAGAGGGAATGGCAAGAAATATTCCAAATAATGAAAAGTAAGGGTGTGCCAACAAGAATGTTCTACCACACAAGGCTCTCAATTAAAGTGGTAGATGAAGTAAGGAGTTTCCCAGACAAAAGAAGGCTAAAGGAATACACCTCCACCAAAACAGTAGTTTCAAATAAGCTAAAGGGACTGCTTTCAGAAGATGAAGAAAAAGAATGAGAAAGAGGATCACAGGTACAAAGGGGAAAAATGAGTAAGTTACTATCCATAATAATTCTCAATGTAAATGGATAAATCCCCCAATCAAAAGACATAGGATAGTTGAATGGAGAAGAAAATGTGAGTGACACATATGCTGCCTACAAGACACCCAGCACAGAACAAAGGACCTACACAGACTGAAAGTGAAGGGATTGAAAAAAATATTCCAAGCAATTGGACAAGGAAAAAAAGCAGAGGTAGCAATACTTATATCAGACAAAATAGATTTCAAAACAAAGGCCATAAAAACAGACCCAGAAGGACACATTATAATACTTAGAGGAAGAATTCATCAAGAGGACATAAACATTGTAAACTTATATGCACCCAACATAGGAGCACCCAATATATAAGGAAAATCTTGAAGGATTTCAAGAAAGATATAGAAAGTAACCTACTGATAGTACGGGATTTTAACACCCCACTGTCAAGAACATATAGTTCTTCCTAACAAAAAATTAACAAGAATATTGTGGAACTGAATTACTCATTAGGTCAAATGGACTTAACTGATATATATAGAACCTTTCATCCCAAAAAAGCAAAATAAAGTTCTTTTCTTATGCATATGGGGCATTTTCAAAGATAAAACACATGATATAAAACAAAACAAACCTCAACAAATTGAGGAAAAGAAAGGTCATAACAAGCATTTTCTTGAACCACAAGGGCTTGAAACTAGAAACCAACCTCAAGGAAAAAACTCAAAAGCATTCAAACTCATGGAGACTGAATAACATGCTATTAAACAATGAATGGATCATTAATGAGGTCAAAGAAGAAATCAGAAAGTTTATGCAAATAAATGAAAATGAACACACAACAGTCCAAAACCTACGGGGCACAGCAAAGGCAGTCCTCAGAGGGAAATTCATAGTAATACAGGCCTACCTCCAAAAGATAGAAACAATTCAAATAAACGACCTTACCCGCCAGCTTCAAGAACTGGAGGAACAACAACAAACAAAGCCCAGAGTAAGTAGATGAAAGGAAATAATATCAGAGCAGAATTTAATGACATAGAGAAAAAAAGAAAAATTCAAAGGATTGTCCAATCCAGGAGCTGGTTCTTTGAAAAGTAAAACACAATAGACAAGCCTTTAAGCAGACTCATCAAGAAAAAAAGGGAGAAAATCCAATAAATAACATCAGAAATGAAAGAGGAGAAATAACAGCTGATACAAGAGAAATATAAAGATTGTAATAAATTACTATGCTCAATTGTATTCCAAGAAACTTGAAAACCTCTATGAAATGGACAAATTCCTAGAAAAATATAACTTTCCAACACTGAATGAAGAAGCAGAAACCAGAATAGATCGATAATAGCTGGTGAAATTGAAACAGTAATCAAAAGAACTCCCTGCACTCAAAAGTCCTTGACTAGATAGTTTCACAAGAGATTTTGCAAAACATTTAAGGAAAAGTTAACACCTGTCTTTCTCCAACCATTCCAAAAAAATCCAAGAAGAGGGAGTACTTGCAAAATCTTTTTTTTTTTTGCAAGATAAATTTCTATATTTCAGAAAACCTACTTGAATACACTTTGAAACAGGAGTACAACAAAATAGAATATACTTCAAATGTTGAATATGCAAACTATTATAGTTCAAATCTGAACACTGGTTTTTTCCCTCTTAAATTTCAACTTAAAAAAAAAAAAGGAAAAAAGAAAACTCCAGGTATTAAGCATTACCCGACAAAAATTCATGCTGAGCCTTAACTTCCAAGTGACAGGAGAACCGAAACTGGTGTGTGCACAGATGCCAGGGCTAAGTGAGTGACACAGGCATGTTACAGCAAAAGGCCAGGGCCAACCATTAATTTGTCAACAACCAAGAAACTGACAGACTTAAGCTACCATATACAATGTCACATGTAAATTCTATAACAATACTGTGCTAGGTACAAAGTTTTTAAAATTTTTTTAATAAAAAAAGCTTTACACAAACAAGTCATTAGCTTATTTCAATAAAGAAAATTGAAAATTAGTCTAAGGCCTTTGTTTTAAATCAGCTTAAGCTATATGATATAAAAAAAATCACGCTAGATCTTTTTTGCTATCTTTCTGAAGCTTTTGGATCCATTCTTCAATTCACATTCTAAAATACCTATATTAGCAGAGTCTTCACATAACACCAGTTAAGTGAATTCTGTGTGAACACAGTAATGTTTGCTGGTATGCATATAAAATGCATCAAAAAGTGCTCTATGTAACAATGAGATCACCCATCCCAACCCCTTCCCACTGAAAACTATAACCTCTTAGAGAATGTTAGTGTTCCAAGTCTTAGTGTAACTTGATATTGTAGTGAGTTGCTTGGTCCCTTTCAATCCTTATTCTTATTGATGGGTTCGGTTGTTTCCTACTGTAAGAGGCAATTTTCTGTCAGCATCTCAATATGTAGTTCATTTCCCACTGAAACATGGGATAGGTAACTTATTTCCAGTAAGTTTGATTGTTTTCCTATATGCATTAAGAATGTTTTAAAGTTTCCTTTTGACTTTTCTTGATGACATCCCTTGCAAATATTTATGTTAGTATTCGCACTAACAGTCTGAAGTCCACAGCAGAACTGCTATTTATTTCTCTCCTGTCACTAGTCCTTCCATTTTCATAGTTACGGGAAGGGCAATAGCTGAAAGCACACTGACAACCACCACATGGGTCACTGTCTTGTTTCCATCCCCTGGTTTTTATTCTTGTACCAGCTGCAAAGTTTTCACATCATGTTCCTGCTTCTTTGCCACTGCCTCTGATTTAATCTCCTGCCCTTTTATGACCTCACTGATAACTCGGGGAGGAGTCTGGCCAGATGACTGTTGAGTAGGCACTGATAGTCTCATTACAGGTGCACCATGGGCTATGGAAACAGGAGTAAGTGCTCTCACAGCCAGTGGGGTTCCAACAATGTTAATGTTTCCTGATCCAGTCAGGTTTGACTTTGTCTGCAGTTGACACTGTGCAAGTTGTGTAGCTAGGATGGTAATAATTTTGGCAGGCTGCATGGTGATTTTGTCTCCATTTTCAGTAGAGGCTGGCATCACAGTAGGGATTGTCTGAATAACTACCTTTGGAGAGGTTGCTGTTGTTGGACTAGTGCTGGTTATTAACGGTGCACCTGCATTGACTGACTGAACTGCCACAGTTGAAATTTCCTGACCCAACGATGTCATTACAACAAGAACTTGCATTGCGACACAAACTGTCCTTGGAGCTGCTGTTGCTGACACAGATGTGGTAGTAGTAGGAGACCTGGATGAAGCATCATGACCAGGGGAAGTGATGTTTACAACTCTAGCTACACCCTTCTCTGCCCTGGAGCATTTTAAAGGAGATGAGTTTTTCCCACCACGAATGGAGGTTGCTTTCAGCAGACTTTCTGCAGACAGTGACACCCGTTCTAATTATTTTTCATCAGTTGCTGCTGCTAAATCTTCATTACAGGTTTCAATTTTGTCATCATCTATGACCACTATGTTTTTGGGCATATCCTTGAACTGATATATGAGCCTCTGTCCTTCAACCTTTGCAAGAATACCCTTTTGGTAATAATACCTCAAAGCCCATCCCATAGTTTCATAGTTCATGTCTGGCTTGTTCTTATGTGTTCCCCAAAGTTTGGAGACAGCCTTTGAATCTACAAGCTTGAATATGCCTTTTTCTCTCTGAGTCCACTTAATATACTGCGGACAAGTATTTTTATCTTGAAGTAGATCTAAAAGAAACTCCCACAAATAGGTTGTGTTTCCTTTTCCTTCTCTGGGTTTCTTCTTTATACCCAACTCAGGAGACCCATTGGAAATTGGTGACTGTTGGGTCTTCGGTTTACGGCCAACTTTTTTCTTTTTCATCAGTTTATGGCTGTCCGGTAATGTAGGAACAGGAGAGGTCTCCATTTGGTTCAGACTCTTCAGTGGACACCTCCACTATTGTTTCTGTTATGACATCCAGCCTCATAGCAGCGTGGATAAACTCTGGAGTTGACACACAAGGAGGGACAAACACTTCCACAAGACTTCTTGAATCTCTCAAGCAGGTAGGAGATTCCATATGAAGCAGGGCTTCAGCAGCTTCAATTGTCTTATCTGCACAGTGTGCATTACTGCTATGCACTGATACACCCACTGTTTCCACATTCTCAGTTTCAACTTCTTGTTCTTCTGCCACATCTTGCATCATATAAGTCTTATCATCATAAACCAGAACCTGGGCTGCATAGCCCTGCTCTAATCTGGCACTTGGAACTGGCTCCACAATCACTGCTGGGTATTCAGAAACCTTTTCGTTTTCCTCTTGATTTTCTACTCCATTGCTGGAAAGCTCCAGAACAGAATCTCCACTGTCAACCACTGCTGATGCCATTATTTATTCCCTGAGGGAGCTTGCAATGCTATTAATCAGTGTAATTAGAGGTTCCTGGATGATTGCCAGTATTATAGGTTTGCATTATTATGTCTTAAAAGTCAATAGAGGAGTAGAGTAGATATCCAGAAACCCAGTCTTCTAAAGGTGATTAACCAGAGAACAATTGGAATGTTAAGTAGTCTAAGTCTTTTTATGAGGCCAGTATCATCCTAATCCCAAAACCAGATAAAGCAGAACAAGGAACGAAAAGTATAGGCCAATATTGCTGATGAACACCGATGCTAAAATCCTCAAAAAAATATTGGCAAACCGCATCCAGTAGTACATTAAAAATATCATGCATCATGATTACGTGGGGTACATTCCAGGGATGCAAGGATGGTTCAATATTCACAAATCAATAAACGTAATAAATCACGTAAAACAAAAGACAAAAAACAGGATCATATCAACAGATGCAGAAAAAGCATTTGATAAGGTACAGCACCCATTTATTATAAAAACATTCAGCAAAGTGAGGATAAGTAGGGCATACCTCAACATAATTAAGGCCATATAAGAAAATCCTACAGCCAACTTCATTTTCAATGGGCAAAAACATAGTTTTCCCACAAAGATCAGGAGCAAGACAAAGATGTCCGCTTTTACCACTTCTATTCAACATATTTTTGGAGGTCCTAGACAAAGTGATCAGACAAGAAATAAAAGGCATCCAAATTTTAAAGGAGGAAGTAAAACTATCATTGTTTGCAGATGACATGATGGTGTACGTGGAAAACCCCATAGACTCTATCAAAAAATTACTCAACCTAATAAGTGAATTTGGCAAAACAGCAGGATACAAAGTCAACATTCAGAAATCAGAGGCATTTTTGTATACCGTACAGGAAATGTCAGAATCAGAAATTAGGAAATATATCCCCTTTGTGATAGCAACAAGAAAAATAAAGTACCTAGGAATAAACTTAACCAAGGAGGTAAAAGGCCTATATGCAGGAATCTATGCAACACTGAAGAAAAAAAATTAAGGAAAACACAAATAAATAGTAACATATACCATTTTCATTGATTGGAAGAATTGACATCATCAAAATGTCCATAGTACCCCCAAAAACTCAGAGATTCAATGTCACATTTGTATTAAAATGCCATTGATGTATTTCACAGACATCAAACAAACATTTCAAAAATTTATTTGAAACTATAAACGATCCTGAATAGCCACTGCAATTTTGATAAAGGAAAACAGATAGGAGGGATCACAGTACCTGACATCAAACTGTATTGCAAGGCAACAGTAATTAAAACAGTCTGGTACTGGCTTAAGAACAGACACATAGATCAATGGAACACAATAGAATCCAGAAATAAATCCATGTCTCTATGGTCAATTAATATTTGACAAAAGGTGCAGAAGCATAAAATGAAGTAAAAATAGCCTCTTCAACAAATGGTGTTGGGAAATCTAGACATGCAAAAAAATTGAAATTCAACTGTCGCACTGTTCAGTGGCTATAGGGGGACTCCCGCCGTGGGGGAGTACCGTAGAGAGCGCAGTGCTCTCTGAAACCTGAGGGAAACCGGCTGGGGCCAGCTGAGGAAGGAGCAGTGCTCTGAAACCAGCAGAGCCCATCCTGGGGTTGTCACGGATGAGGGGGAATAAACAAAACATCTCCAACACTTCTCTGTTTGCCGGGGCACTCCCCTCTTACCAGAGAAGGTCGTGGCACATCCCTTTAGTGGGGAAGGTCCCGTTGTCCTTTGTTCCAAGGCTTTTATTGAAAATCTTATCAGTGGGGTATGTAATAGGAATGCGTGTTAACTCATTACATCAGTATGGTAAGTTTCACAGTGAATATATAATGCTTTTAACAGGACAAATGACAGGAGTACACTGATTTACATGGGTCCGAGAGGAGACCAGAATCAACAATAGAGACTATAGATAAGGGGAAAGTAGACTTAAAGGCGACTTAAAGATATTGGGTAAAAGTTGTAAATAAAGTAAACGTCTTAACAATACCAGGTAAGGCATGTAAATAAAGCAAATGTCTTAACAACATAAGGGGTGTAAATAAAGGTCCTTAGTAACATGAGCTGACCAAAGATCTGAGGGAGGAGCAGAGCACACTCTAAAGAATTTACTTTTAGGCCTGATTACCCCTGGATGTCCCAGATCTGATTTAGGGCTATTTTTCCTGCACTGTTTCAAGCCTAAGCCAGGAGGGGGGAGGAAGCAGCCAAGGGTTAAGGAGACTGCTTCTTGGCTGCAATGAGGACTCCAGCCATGTCCAAGCCAAGTTGAGAGGTGCAGGGGGCCTTTTCACCCCTTCTCTGTGTTCCCCAGTTTCTTGTCTGCTGCTAAAATTGGGCCAATACCTGTCTCAGGTCGTTAACCTCAGCACGAGGTCACTTACCCATCATTGGCTAATTGACCATCCATGGCAAAGCAGAGAGGCAGGGGCTATGCCCCAGCCAGTGGGGGACAGGCCAAGTCTCCTCAGGAGCCTGTTTCTCCAAGGCCTCCTGATTATTTCCAGCCTTGGGGCCTTCCAGCCTGTTGGCAGGGTTACAGCTTCTTGAAACCAGGCCAGGCATTTCCCAACATTCGACCACTAACTTACAACATAAAGAAAATACACTGAAGATGGATAAGGGACTTAAATTTAAGTTACGACACCATAAAATTCCTAGAGGAGAACAGAGGCAGGAAACTCTCAGATATCCCATGTAGCAATATTTTCACAGATATATCCCCTAGAACAAGGGACATAAAGGAAAAAATAAACAAATGGGACTTCAACAAAATAAGAAGCTTCTGCACGGCTAAAGAAAAGTTTAGCAAAATGAAAAGGGAACCAACCATATGGGAAAGTATATTTTCCAATGATACTTCAGACAGGGGTTTGATCTCCTAAATGTATAAAGAACTCACATAACTCCATTCCAGGAAGACAAAGAATCCAATTAAAATATGGACAAAGGATGTGAACAGACACTTCTCCTAAGAGGATATAAACAGGGCCTCAAGATGTATGAAAGAATGCTCAGCATCACTAGCCATCAGGGGAATGCAAATTAAAACCACAATGAGATACCACTTCACACTGGTCAGAATGGCCATCATAAATAAATGAACAAACAACAGGAGCTGACAAGGTTGTGGAGAAAAGGGAACCCTAGTACACTTTTCGTGGGAATGCAGACTGGTGAAGCCACTGTAGATAATAGTGTGGAATTTCCTCAAAAAGATAACAATGAAACTGCTTTTTGACCCAGTGATTCCACTGCTGGAATTATACCCTGTGGATCCCAAAACACCAATTCAAAAGAACCTATGCACCCACATGTTCATAGCAGCACAATTTACAATAGCCGTGTGCTGGAAGCAACCTAAGTGCCCATCAGTAAATGAGTGGATCAAAAATTTATGGTATATTTTTTTTTTTTTTATTAATTTATTTACTTTTTAAATACATTTGTCTCTGCCTTCCCCCCCCCCTTTCCCTTGCCCCCAAATTTATGGTATAATACAATGAAACACTATGCAGCAGAAAGAAATAAAGAGTTCCAACCCTTCACTACAGCATAGATGGAACTGGAGAGCCTTATGCTAAGTGAAATAAGCCATGCAGTGAAAGACAAATACCATGTGATCTCAGGTATAAATCAAACCTAATCAGCAAAGCAAGTAGGCAAGGAAAATATGACCAGCAACTTTGAAAGAAATTGGAAACCAATGGTAATGGGAGGAAGGAGTGGTAGCAGGGAGGAGAGGGGAGGGGAGGAGAGGGGGAAGGGTCAGATCGAGGAACAGCTGTGAAGGACACGTGGGCCAAGCCAAGGTGCGGAAGGATTGAGAGGGAGGGTTGGGTGTGGTTGGGGAAGAGTAAAATGGTGGCAGGTAAATGGAGACAAGTGTATTTGAAAAATTTTAAAAAAGATCCGTTATAAAATATTAAAGAATTTCAATAAAAAAGAAATTTTTAAAAATAAAATAATTTATTCTACTAGCAATACAATAGATTTATCTTGTGTTACATTATAACATGAGAAATTTATTGCTTTAGGATTGCCAAACCAGACATTCTCCTTTAAAAGGAAAAGATTTCTGCATGAATATAATCCAGATATTTTAAACCTTGGCCTAACCAACAGAAACAAATTAAACCTTTGTTTAAATTTGCTTTTCAAAGGTTCTTGTTTGTTAGACTCTTAAATGGTACCTGAAAGCCAAAAGACACTGGCTGATTTTGAGCTCAAATACTTGCTATAAGGAGTTTTATGTGGGGTCTCATACATCTAGTCATTGGCAGCCACTAAGAATACGTATTGAGCTGCATATATTTTTTATCCAATTTAGATAGAAAATATCTTCCTGATTGGAAGTCATTTCTGCTCTCCCTAGCTTGTTAGGTACTTCATCACAAGGGTATGTTTTCTCATTCTTTATATATTCTGGAAGGTTTATAGGGGCACTACAACCTTTAGTAAATGGCTTTAACAACTATAAGAGTAATTCCTGAAGGACTTATCACAGGCATCTCTGTGGGGATTTTTGATGGTAAAGTGGGATAATATCTTGATGTCCTAGAAGAGTTTTGATATCAATATAAGATAAATAAGAAATTACAAAACATAATTTCATTCCAAGGCCAGAGAATGTAATGAGGTTAAAGTTAGCTGTGATCAAGAGTAGTAAAAGAAAGAAAAAATATAACAAAATCTGAAAATGGAAAAGCCAGTGTTCAGCCTGCTTATCACCTACCAGACCCGATAAGCAGAGACAGGGATTGAATCTTTACATGCACTTTATTCAGATGGCTGGTGATCTGAGAAGATGGAGGGTTTGTTTCTACCCAAACAGACTGCCTTTCATTTCCTTTCAAGCCAGCCCTTTTTATAAGGGGGCAAAAGTGTAGGTAAGGGTTTGGAATTCAGGAAAGAGGTTAATCAGATAAAAGCTGCAGTCCAGAAATTTCCCTAACATCCTTTCA